TTTGATTGTGCATGTGTTCTGCATGTAGCCTCCCCCTCCCTCGATCGGAGGAACTGTGTGACATCGCTGGCAGGACCGTGCATCGTGTCATCCACATGCATGTGCAAGCGCACGTGTGTCCTTGTTTGTCTGCTCAAGATAAACAAAATGGGGGCCACTCCGGCAGAAAAACAGCTCCAGTGCACCGCCAGAGCTCAACATCTCCATGGGGAAACCTTTAACTGGCTGCGAGTTATTTTAATGTCAGCCATCTTTTTTTTTTTTTGTAATACCGAGTATCATCTGCTTCTCTGGATTTCAGGTTCACTTAATTTTGGAGCCAGCTGCTGCAAAATGTCAGACACAAGCAAACAAACACCCGGTGATTCTGTACATTCAGACAGATGTAAGTGAGGCGATATGTGTGTCGGGGGGTTTTGTAGAAGGTGGGGGTGCAAGTGTAGGAAATGTAAAATGAAACACAAAGAAGGAGAACAAGATGTAATGGATATGAAACTGGGTTGCCAACAGAACTGAGCCGAACGCATCCTGAATCCAAATTAGCTACTGGCTCCATGTGAGGAGGGAGGTAGCTCTCCGGCTCTGCATTAAGGAGCTGCCGACAGGCGTCCTTTGACTTTGGATAAAGATGTGGAGGAAATGGGGAGGACCTCAATTTAAATATGGGCCTGAGCCATTGGTGTATCTGAGAGATTTGGCCTCTGTGACAATCCCAGGCCTGCCGTGGAACTCCCGGTGTGCTTATTATTATTCTCAGAGAGATTCAGGTCGGGGATTGTCTAGACATTACTTAAACTGAAAAACTCTCTTTCTCACTTTTCTATCGCTGCCCTCCCCTCCCTGTTTATCTTTTTCTCTGTCTCACTCTGAAAGTCAATCAGGTTTTCTTCCGTCCTTCCTAAAGTTCTTCCAAAGAGGACATTGATGCTAAATAGCTAAATCAAATCACAAACATGTGTTAAAGGAAGACTTTCTTTCCTCCTTCCTTGTGTGTTCTTACTGTCCTATTTTTTTTTTCTCTTTTCATTCCAGAGATCGCTGGCAATCCATCAGCTGTCACACAGCCAACAGATACATGCAACTGCACAGTGTGCACGTGCACTGAAGCCGTTGGTCAAGTAATCAGTCAGCAAAGTGACAGACGATCATTCACCAAACATTCAAAATAAATTAGCAGTTGATTTATCATTCATGAAGCAAAGATACCTGAGTGTTACCAGCCTTTCAAATGCAGTTTGAAGATTTAGAAATGGGGTTTAATGTGTTTTTTTGTGGGCAAAACAATCAAGTAATTAATAAAACTGAACAAAAATATAAACGCAACATGTGATATTTTAATTGCCTGACTGCAGCCCTAACTAACAGCACATTCTCAGTCTTTTTCTTGTCGTCTGTGGCGTCGTGTCACTCGACTAAAGCTGCATTTTTAAGGTGGCCTTTCATCGTCGCTGCACACAGGAGCGTCTGTGTTCTTGTCACGCCACCTGATCATTGTCCTCTAAAGCCACACCTGACCAGGATGCGAATCAACCCAGCGGTTGAGAAGCCGGTCACCGGCTGAACCCCTTTTCTAACCAACACGAATAAGAACTGAAACTTTTCAAAGCACAAAAGAAGTCCATTTGCATGCTGCATTGTACATTTTTGCTCGGTGTAATATCTACCAATTAGCTGCAGCCCCACTGCACCGACCAAAAAAAAACACACACAAATGACTTTTTTGTTCCAGTGACAGAAAAAGAGCAAAGCCCGGCTGTGAAGCAGAGCCTGCTTACAAATGCTCATTGTCGTTTGTCAAACAAAATCTGAACCTCTCCCTGACCTTCCACACCCCTCTCTCTCTCTCTCGCTCGCTTACTGCTCTCTCAGGGCCCTCGGTGAAGGTTTTACTGTGACTCATTATTTGTTTCTGTGACATAAATAACAAGAAGTGAAATTTGTAGTCGACGGAGAGAAAGGACGGACAGATAGATAGATAGATAGATAGATAGATAGATAGATAGATAGATAGATAGATAGATAGATAGATAGATAGATAGATAGATAGTGAGCGAGTTCCAAACAGAAAGAGAGAGAACAGTGGTTACTGCTGTGCTGTAAACTAGGTCATATTGAGTGTTATAAATAATGGAAGGGAACTCTTCATTGTAGATGCTCAGCCCCCACGCACTTTATCGCTAAACACTCCACATAAGCAGCATCACCCTGCTCACCCTCGGCTACATCAGCTTCCAATCAGCAACGTGCCTCAACAGTGAGCTCTGCACTCCGAGCAAAGACAAGCCAAAGCGGCGACCGGCACATATGTAACCGCTTAATTGATCAACAGCAATAGTAAAACTTCTACCCCCCCTGCCTTCTCAGATACCTGACGGCGAGATAAAAGAGGTAAGGCTTTCTCCGACGCAACTTCTCAGAATCATCGCAAACGCGCGGCAAGATGAAGCTTGTCGCATCCCCCCCGCCTCCCCTCCTCTCCAACCTCTGCTAACAAGACGGAGCAAAAGAAGCAGGGAGAGGAAAAAGGAAAAGGGAGGGAGCGTTAGAGAGGTAGGAGGATATCCCTCAGTAATTATCTCCCACGGGAGCGAGGGGAAGAGAGAGAGCTGTGCATCTCTGCTCTCAGATGTAAGGAAGACAAAACAAGACAAGCAAACAAGCAGGGAGAAACTTTTTTTTCTTTTAGTTTGGAGAGACACAAAAGTGGAATGGAGACCTTGAAGAAGAGAGAGAGAGAGAGAGAGAGAGGGGAGCAAGAGTGAATTTAAAAAAAAAAAGGAGGTGGGGGAGGAAAACGATCCGGATAAATAATAATAAAAGTAAATGTGAATATGAGGAATGGAAGCGAAGGACTTATTTTATAGCCGTGATTGCACCATGAGAGCTGTCGTAAAAGTGTGAATAAAGAACAGAAACGTTCCCCTCGGCCGCCCTCACTTCTGAAACACTTCCTCACATTGTCTATCACGCGCATAATCTGTGGTGTTAAATGAAACAGATAAATAACGGGAATTAGAGAGAGGCTCTCATCCGACGCTCTGCAGTAATTTCATCTGTTTCTGAGAAGTCTGTGGCTCTCCGAGGCTTACGAGGCCATCCGACCTATCGCTGGCGTTTTTTGCTTACCGATGCTAATTTTTCCCAGCTTCACGTCCTCCATATGGCCAGAGAGTGCATCGACTTCGTGGCTTTAATTAAAACCGGTCTTACGACTATTACTGCAGGAATGTGCTCCCTTTCTACCGAACAGCCTCTCCCTTGTGATAGAAGGGGTCAAAAAAATCTGCTCCCGCGCCCATAAAAGCGATGGTTAAAATGACAAACAGGGAGTCATGTTTGTCAAGCAGAAAGCCGCCGTTTGACACCGAGGTACTGAATCACTCGTAATTAAGAATAATCGCGGGCTCTGACGCAAATGATGATTTCATAAATGGTGGGTGTGGATGTGAGGGTCACAGAGTATCCAGAACTTAAAATTCAATTTGATAAATGAAAAGATTGCTTGTCTGGGCGCTATTAAACTTTAATTAGATATAGATAGGTGGGTGGAGGGTTATTATAAGCTTCATAGTAGGGATGCGAATTGTGTGCTTGTTTATGAGCCTTTGGTTATGAATGAATCCGTCCACCTGGGTGAGTCATAGCAGCCTGCGCATTTACTGTACGTCCTTCCCTGAACCCGAGAGTGGCTCATACATCTGTCGGAAGCACCGACTTGTGCTCAAGTTGTACTGAGCGATAGAAGGCCTCTTGTTCCGAAACGACGACACCGCGAATATTTAAGCGCACATTTGAAAAATAAAAGCAACGCGTTTATCTGATCCGCATCGAACCGTCCGTCCTCCCTCACAGTAAAGCGGCTCCCTTATCAATAAACGCAGCAGACGCCGGCTCGCCGTGTCCTTCAAGTATTTTTATGAGTGTTTTAAGAGAGAAAAAAGTTTGATGGGCAGTTTGTGAATTCCAGCTCTCGCCAGTCATTCATCACGGCCGCCTGGCAATCAGACCGACATCACCGAGTCCCTCAGCAGAGCTTTGTGGTTAATGCAGTCCTCCCAGCTTCTTTCTTTCTTCGGTAACACTATCTTCTTCTCATCAAGTGGATTGCGAACCATAAGACTCGAGGTTATATAACCGTGCCAACTGGGATATCTCCCTGCCTCTGTTTCTCCGTCTATGCCTCCCATCACATCTCTCTCCTGCTATCTTACAAACACTTTCTCCCTCTACAACTCATGTGCTTTTCTCCAGCTGACATCCGTGATCTGTCGCTGGCTCACGTGTGCACCCCACAACGGCCTTTAAATTATTAAACTATCAATCCCAACAACACTCCCTGCTGAGTATTTCTGCCGATGAGAATGGGAGAATCCTACCCTTTTGTTAAGGTTAGTGCAAGACTGTTGTCATGCAGTAATTTTGTCTAATGGGAAAAAATGAAAGGCTACATTTAAAAATGACTTTTTTTTTGCAGGGTGGCATCCTTTCATGACAGCAGGAACACTTAACAGATGAAACAAAGAGGAGTTAAACAAAACAACATCAACCTAAAACAGGAAATTCAATGGAATTTTTTTTGCAGCTGCATAACGAGCCAGTGAGAGAAAAGAAAAAGCAATTTTAAAAAAGGCTGAGTACTGAACTTGATGTCAAATTAAATGTAAAACATGTACAGTGCTGCTTCAACAACAAGGGGTGTGGGGTGGTGGTGGTGGTGGTGGTGGTGTTGGTTGGTGGTGGTGGTGGTGGTGGTGGTGGTGGGGGGTAATAAGTGCTGCACAGCAACACAAAGGCACATCTGAAGAGCTCTTGAATTGAGCAGAGATGAAAGGCTTTGGAAGAGCTGAGTCTGTGCTGCAGTGGGATATTAAAACAGACAACAACCAGAACAAAACACAACACGTGTAAACGAACGAACACGCATCGGCGCGCAAACACACACACACACACACACACACGCGGGCAAGCAACCCGACCGGAGCGAGAGGTTCGCGTCTTACCGAGCTGTAGAGCATGCCCTCGCCATTCATGGCAATGTAGAAGCCGCTCTTCACCCCCTGGATGGCCACCACTCTCAGACCCACAGGGATAAGATTAAACAGGGCTGCAGAGCAGACAGAGCAGAGGGAGAGGGAGAGGGAGAGACAGACAGTTACAAAGAGCCAGAGACAAAAGGGAGACATCAGACAGAAAGGACAGAATAGGACAATTGAGTTTTCACTTAACTCTTGTAGACAACGACAGCCTCTGATCTCTGTTCTTTGGCTATCTGTCAGCAGCAAAGTGAACAGTACAGGACGTGGACAGTGGGAACACTGACGTACTTCACAGGGAGGCGTTAACAATAAAGCAGAAATCCAAAACTTTACGGTGACAGCTAACCGAGATGATGACAGACAAGATGGCAGAGCATCCCGTGCACCCCTATACAGCCAACTATAGTCGAATTAAGAGTTGCCGGATGATGTAGATTTTGCAAAACCAAAGTAATTGCACACTAATTAACATTTACGTGACTTTGTTTGAAATGAGGTTTAATAGCAGTGCATAGTTCAACAGTTGCTAAAGTGCTGGTCTTGTGTTTTCAAGTCTTCTCCGCAACATTAAATATTCAGCAAATATTAATAATCAATGCACAACTTCAGAAGACACAGACACAGACAATATTTATTAAGAGATTAAGTCAGCTCATCTCCCTCGTCTCTCCTGCGTGAGTGCGGTTTAATCGGATTTCACTGAAAGTGGCCTTTAACATAAGATGGTGGTCGCCACGTAGACGGCATCACCTCCGAGGCACCGGAAAAAACTGCAGAAAACCGTTTCGAGACCCCCGTCTATCATCGCGGCGTATCTCTGCAGCTTCTTCTGTATCCGAGGGCTGAACTGTGACCTTCATTGGCTCCGGTGTGGGGCGAGGGTGTGAGGACACGCGTTATGTGCTGCAGACTCCCTGTTTCGTTGGAATGATTGTTCTGCAAGTGCCGATGGGGACTATCAGATAAAGCTGGCAGGGAAAAGAGGAGACGTGCCAACGCGGGTCTGTCCTACGAGCAGATTCAATTTCACTCAATAAATATCGACGCGCCGCTTTCGCCTGCCAATGGTTTAACCCTGCCCTCGGGCCACTGGTGTGGCTGATACACACCGGCCACTCTTGCGGATACCCTTGAGGTCCAGATATTTGTCGTATAATGGCAGAATATGAGTCCTTTAGCACCTTTAATTTTGTTTTCTCAGGCTCTTATTTCGTCTCTTCTCTCTTTCTTCCTCTCTGCCATCCTTCTTCCTCCCCTACTGTCATGGCTGTTTTGCCTTTATCGTTCCTATGACTAGCAATGTCTTGTCAGAGGCACCATCCGCAGTTCAGCCTGGCCTGAGAAGTGGGAGGGAAAAAAAATTTATTAAATACGGCATCCTACTACACTATTTTGCTATAATTACAATCTGCTGTCCATGATCTCATTTGCCTGCCAAAAAATTAAACAACTGACAAGAGCTGTCATTCGGCTACTTTCTAAATGTGCAGCTTTTTCTATTTTCAGCTCCCGCACTTGATAGATTCCATAATTACAACTGCACTGACTGCCGTTGGAGTACCTGATGGCTATTCTGAAGTCGATTCTTCGACCTTAATAACCTCAGCCCTATCTCTCACGGAGAAATAAAAAAAAAAAAAAAAAAGGCAGAGACTCGGCCGGTGCAGGGAGAGTCAAAAGATTTGCGGGGATCTTCTGTCGTCAAAAAAAAAAATGGGTTCAAACAACCCAATAAAGCAAAACCCTTGAAATGGCAAGTCTTCCAGCGGTGTAATCGGCTACGAGCAAATCCTATAGGTAGGCTAAAAGGAAGCACATTTCATGTGAGGAATACTAGCGCAGCAGGAAATAAACCCTGCAGGAAAGGGTTTTAAAAGACACCGAGCCAAATTTGAAATGCCAAGGGCACGTTTCCAAATGTAGAGAGAAATCTAAAGATGAGAGAGTGTGCTTACATACAGTGTTTATTAGTTTATGACTTAATATTATGTTTCCCCGACGCCTCCTTGAAACTGAAAGTGCTTGAAATTAGCGGCTTCGGTTAATAAAAGCCTTTCTCCGTCCCATCCGTCAAGCCCAGAGCATCGGGGAAGAGATGGAGTGTGAACGCGTGATGCTGCAGGTGTCTCATAACCAGCAGTATCTTTCTGGAGCCTCGGAGTGTGCAGGTAATTACTGCAGGCGATCAACTGATGACAATCAAATTAATAACTGTTCAAATTTGAACATGGGATGTTAATTAATTGGACGGTGTAACACAGCCCTTGCGGTTAGCTAAGCGTAGCTCTGCCAGTCAGTCATGCTTACCCCTTCAGTGATTTTACATACTTGTACCGCACATCGAGGCAGGAACCTTCTCTTGTATTCTATCCGGCACTTCTCACATTTTGCTGAACATCTAATAAGGTCTCACTCTTCAAAAACCATGGTTTGATTAAAGCAGAATTCCATTATCTTTTTTTTTTTTTTTGATGCATTTTTCCACACATTTTCTGCTCCGTCTCAGCACTTATTGTCATTCCACGAGGAAATAGAGCAAATAATATAAAATGGAATCCACGCGCACTCTGGGTTCGGGTCACGCCTAGTATGCAGGCTGCATCATGCTCCCATCGGTTCCAGCGAACCACCCCCTGAAACTAAATTACTGTATTCCATGTGCTGCTGCTGCTGCTGCTGAGGATGCTGCAGGTCAGAGGGTTTTGTGGTTCAAGGGTGGAGATAATCTATTATTCTAATAATCCAGCTGGACAATCAATAGCTCAGTGCAAGACCTGAATACCAATCTTCATCCATTTCTCTCACTCCGAATCACTCTTTTTTTTTCTCCTTTCTCTTTCTGTCTCCATCTTCTGCTCAAAAACACTTCAAAATTCCTCTCGCAGCACCTCCTGCTCTCCTATGCTCTCTCTACGTCTTCCCTCGCACTGTCTCTAAGCTCGAGGCATCTCATATAAAGAATTATTCATTGGATACAAACGGAGAAGGTGGTATTTTTAGTTTGCTGTGGTTGAATTATTCACTGCATTCCACCATCCTTTGGCCAGCGGGACTGCTTAACTAGGAGGATTACCTAGAGGTGGGGAAACCCTCGCATACAACAGAAAACCTCACCAGCCAAAAACCCCTTCAGAACACAATGGAGGCCCCCAAAAAGAGGCTATTTGTTCAAGGCGCACAGAGGAAACGCATTACGTGGATGTTGTTTTCATACTTTTTCCCCCTCATTGAGTAATCCATTTTCTCCCGACGACCCTTCTCTGCGCCGTAAGTAGTCCTCGCTCAGGATCCATCTCATAGTAAAATATAAAGCGACGAGTGACAGGGAGAGGCCGTTCTTTTCACCGCATGACTGCTACGGTCCAGCAGCTTTGGCTCTGGCTTCCTTTAAGATTGGCAGGATGTTTCAGAGAAGAAAGGTCATGATTGGTTTCCTGTCTGGCTTCACTCCAGTCTCTGAGTGTCATCATTATCGCTTTGACGACCATTCTCCGCTGACACATATCTCTTCCTTGAACCTTCATGGGGAAGTCTTACAAAAGCATATATGTTTTAGACGGATTTCGCCCTCTTCTGTTCTTGCGGAGGTGGACCAAGGAAGGAGGGGGGGGCTTTAGGGGACCGTACCCTGGAGACTATTTATCCACTGCAGTCCACTATGGAAAGTCGATCGGTGGTGAAATATTGCGAAGTAGTGGCTCGGGGAGGGATCTTTGTAACAAGGAGTGAAGCCGTGGGAATACAGTTGTTTCAGGCAATGGGTTTTTCCAGGAAGGGAAATCTGCTGCGATAATCACATGTGATTTGGAGCTGTATCAATCAGCACAATGTGACGCGTGGAATCATGCAGTGTAACACAGTAGAAATGGTTCACTTAGTGAGACCCTGGGATGCTGCAATTTATGTTACATATTTTAAAAGCAGAACCTCCGTTATTATTGCCTTCACAAACAGTAAAACTTACACGGTTGAGAAGCCAGACTAAGAATACATAAAGCACTTGAGTAGGTTTTTTACACGTTCATATCCACGCATGCTATTGCATAACCAGATGTAGAAACGATGGCTTTCTGCCTTGTGGAATTTGTTGAACAGTCCCCTTTAAAACTGTACATTTTTTATATAGATAATCCAATTTAGTGAGGGCGTCTTAAACTAATTTCGGTGCGCTTTAGGCTGCCCAAATAGCATCAGTTACATAAGAATTAAAAATGATAAAGCATACGAAATGTGGTAATGTATTATATAACCAACTGACTCACAGCCATTAAATGTTTTATGCTGGAAGCTGTAGCTTCCATAATGCTCCACTCACTGTTGTCGCTGTTCTCGTCCTTGCTGCCGTCGATGGTTCCATCCGGCTGCATCTGCAGGTAGAAGCCCTGCTGGCTGAACAGTCGTGTCACGATGCCTTTCAGCTGTGGCTCTGAAACGCACACACGTACGCACACACAGACAACACGCACACATGCACACAAACCGTCGGCCAAGCCGCAGCCCCATCCCCACCAAGAATATGTCAGAACGGCAGTCTCACAATCATGACAAAAACATACAATTCAGCAGATACCTTCATGTTTTTACACCCCCAGATGTTTATATCAAGCTATTTCAAATGCTGAAATCATCACAAAGACACAAAATGTAGTGTATAATTGATTCAAATGTGGCAACTTGGCTGTGGAAGATGGACTGTACCAGCGGAGCAATCTTTTCGGTCTTAAATAATGCATTTAAAAATATTTACGGGTGTGTTTACTTGCTATATATATTAAAACTGTAAAATGTAGTTCCATAATCTTGTCTCTAAACATAAAATCGTAAATATCCAGTTAGAATGAATCCTTTTTTTGAAGCAATCTTAGTATTCTCGTGGGTCAATCCAGCTTCCACATTTGCCCACAAATAAAAAAGAAAACAAAAAAAAACGTACACTTCTTTTGCATAACCCTTACCAGCGGTTGGATATCAATAATACTATGATGGACAGTTTGCTATGAATCATCTATTGCACCACATAATCCCATAAAAGGGCTGTTCGACCGAAGGCTTTTACAATGAGAACACCATAACAGAAAATCAATGAGAATGCTGTCCCCTCTCATAATGAATTAGTGTATCCAGTACAGCGATGTGATTGTTTTCACCATTTGGAGACCCTTTTAAAATCACATTTAATGCACACTGACATGCCAGTGGTTTCTTTATTTGGTATGAAGCAACTGTGCATTTTGGAGATGATGTGACTGACATTGAATGAAATTACTCTCTTTAACAGGCAGGTTTTGACGTGCTTCACTCCAAATGATCCCGTTTCTTACGTTAAACTGACCTAAAGTTTCTCGGAGTTTTACAATAACCCTGAACCGACCTCCAACTTTTGGAGGGTATGACTTCTGGCACTCGGCCAGAGTGCTGCTCAGAGCACTCCACATTTCAGGGGAGCAGGTGGAAACGAGGATTAGCTCAGGGATGAAGAAGCCTCTCACCCTCCGGCAATGCCTGGGAAAGCTATGTTTATCTGAGGGCCAATGTACATACAGTCTCCACGGTCTGTCAAACGTCCAGCAGGGTTTGTTTTGATTGTATATAAAAGCAGACAGGAGAAGAAGGAACCGAATGACACCGTTAGTACAAAAAAAAAAAAAAACAGACCTGGATTATGGCTTTTCAGAGGAAAACGCTCGAGGGCTAAAACTGCATTGTTTGATTTATCTTGAAAACCACGTTGAGATCAATGAAACTCATTTCCAGTGCAGATAAAAGAAAGGATAGACAGTAAATATATGCAGTCATATTTTCTAAAGGTTCGCTGTGAATAATGAAACTCTGATGTGTTGTTGTTGTTTTTGTTTTTTGGCAAAAGGCTGAGATGTTGAGACATTGAAAACCGACAGCAGCATCGACGCTGCAAGTTACAAATCTTTGTTTATTCTCAGTTTGTCTGACAAAAGGAACAAATTATGCATTTTGTCAGAATTTAATTGGCGCTTAGTTTCATTTTTAAGTGCCTACGTAAACACTGAGTGACTGAGAATGCTTTCTTCGCAGGCATACATGGTTTGATAAATCATGTATGTGATTGGAATAAAGTAACATGAGTGAGGCTGACTGTTCTCCAAGGTCATAACAAGACTTGGAGGACAAGCGATTCATTTCAGTCCAGTCAGGCACACAGAAAAAAAAACAAAAACCCAAATGATTTGGTTGGAGAGAAACATTTCCAAAGTCGGTATCAGGAGAGAGAGAGAGAGATAGTTTTAGATCTGTCTTCAACAGTAATAACAGATGTTAAGTCTTTGCTTGAAAGCTGATTACTGCAATAATTACAGCATGAGCTCTATTTATATTGTACCCGAGACGAGAGCTCAAAGAGAGACGAAGCTAAGTAGTGACCCCCAGCGAGAGCGGGTTCTGTTCAACTGTACATCATCCTGACCATCAATCCCCAACTCACCTACCCCTGGGTTACTGCCATCAATTCCTGGGACAGGCCCTTCATCATCCATCACGAGCAGGGGTGAGGAGAATGCGAGTGTGTTCCCGCATGTTTCTGCTTGTGTGTGTGTGTGTGTGTGTGTGTGAAAGCACATGGGAGTGTACACACCAGTAAATCACATGTGATAACTACACTTTCATAAATTAGGGCCTCCGTACGGGCCGAGCAATCGCTGACGGCTCATCAGTTCCAATCATTTAGCAGAGAGTGTGCACTACATGGTGTGCGCTTGCATGTGTGTGTGTGTGTGTGTGTGTGTGTGGCTGTCAGGCGAACTCCAGAGCCTTGCAACATGTGTTTGTGAGTGAAAAATGTCTCTCAGCGGCAACATACGTGAGATCATCCGGCGAGTGTATGGGCCATTAGAACGTCAATAGATTTACTTCATACCAATACAGAAGGACAAAAACATTTAGGTACGTTGACAAATGGCGTCATGACCATGGGATGGTGAATGATCACCTGCTCTGATATAGTGTTTGACGGGGGGGTGGGGGGAGAGAGGTACACCAATATACACTATACAATAAAGAAACCTCTACTACACAGATTTACAGACATAGAACGAGGAGCGAGGATAAGGACTGATCCGACATTGACTGACAAAGAGAATGGGACAGAAACAAAAATGAAGGAGAGGGCAGAGAGAGGCTAGAGGTGAGCTTTTTTTTTTGTTGTTGTTGTTTTAAGCTCGAGGGAAGAAACAGGTACGAAATTAAGCCGAAAGAATCCAAGAAAGCCACACAGAAGGAGGGATGAAAGAAAAAAAAAATAACAGAAGAAGAAGAGGATCAGCAAAAAGGGGAGAGGGTCGTCGGCTGTCAGACAGGTGTGTTGAAGCCCCCAGCCCCACCCTCCCCCTCCCCTCCCCCCTCCCCCTCCCTCCCTCCCTGGCCGGGTAGGGGAGAGGGGGGGTGGGAGGAGAGAGGAGGAGGGGGGGGTGTGTTAAAAAGTCGACATGGGCGCGAGATGGGGTGGAGACGAAGAAGAAGAAGAAGAAACACAGCACACACGGATGGAGGCTGAGCTACTGACCTAGCCTGCAGCCCTTATGGGACACCTGTGGAGGTTTCGAGGGTGCATCTTACGAAGGGGGGAGGATAGAAGGAAAAACAACAGTCTTTTAAACAGGCAGAACTCATCAATGCTCCAGTGTATCGGCTGTTTATAAGCAAATATATGGTAAAAAGGCATCAAGTGGAAAGAGATATCAATTAGAGAGAGGACATTACAGCGCTGGGTCTGTCTGGAGTTGCTGTACCTACCTGTCCAACAGAGTCTGGAGGCCTGACTGCCCTGCTGTCTGTCTGTCTGCTTATTGTTTCTATTCAAACCAACTGAGATTGTTAGATGAAGGCTTTTTTTTAAATTATAATTTAGTATTTTGTCTGTCCGTCTGGCTGGCTGGGTTGCTGTCTCCCTCCTTTTCTGCCTTAAAAAATTGATGTCCGACTGTCCGCTTTGCCTCATTCCTCATCAGTCTGTCTGTCTGGTGATGAGGGGGGGGCTACGGTGGACCTGACTGTCGATCATCCACAGCGACTGGATCTATCTGGATGGAGGGAGTTGGGGAGGGGGGGTAGGTTGACTGCTCACTTGTTATCTGTGCACCAGGACACAAGCAGTAGAATTTAAAAAATAAATAAAAAAAGAGGGGGGGCTAATGCCATGAGGTGTAGTAAGGGAAGGGAGCCTATGTATATATCAATACAGCCAAGAGTAGCTCTTAATCACTACAGCTATACCTCCCTTCACTGCAGTAAAAAGGAAAAAAAAAAAAAAAAAGCTCCCCTCTCTGCAATAAACATTTAACCATTAAAAACATTTAATCTCAAAAGAGCCTTGGTGCACTGCGGTGCAACTTCTGTATCTCCCCTCCGTAGCCCCAATCTGCATTAATATTGAATTAGGCAGTTTAAAGCAGCCTCTTTTTTTTTTCTGGAGTGTGTATTCAAGTTGCGTGTGTGTATATTGTGTTTGGAGGAAGAGGAGGAGGGAGGGAAGAAGAGAGGGAGGGGGTGAAAAATTAAGTGTGCAAAATCGAAGGCTTTAAATGTATTATATGGGATGTTGGAAGAGAGAGGAAACAGTGGCATCAATTTTGTCTCGGGGTAATTGATTATTCTGATCAGAGCACTATCAGAATGAATAAGGACGGGGG